CACCAAAGCGCGCACTACGTGATGACCCCCGCTGGAGGCGATCATAGCCTCGGAGGTCTCAAACAGAGTAGCTAGTCCGCAAGACTCCCATAGGAGTCTCGTCTCAAGATCCCTGGCGATGTACATCCTGTACAAATCGCCTAAGCCATCACAGCCAGAGCCGTGATGCCGTGTCCTCCCGGGCGCGATGCCCTGTCTCACCCTCTCAGAAATGTGGTGGACAGGGGCAAAAAACAAGGTCCGCTCATCCCACTCCGGAAGTCGACCAAGCGAAGTGGAAGGCGTAATGTCATCCTCCACGGGCTCATGCTCCCGTCTAGTGTTTCGGGACCGTGAACCCGAGCCTCGTCGTCTAGCCATGCTACATTGTGCAAAATTATCATGAATTAAGATTCTATAGTATCTAAGTTTCGCCTAGCCGCATGATACTATGTTCGCAAAAACAGAGTACGTAGTACTAAAACATAGCACAAATTCAAATTGAGCATGACAGCAGTTTCCAAGCAATTAAATAATTTCTTGCAACACTATAGTGATTATTGTGACAAATTGAACAAGAATTGCTAGCAAAGGTGTCAGAAACAAATCACATTGTTCTTCACGACCTTAAGAGGTCCAACAATGGCAAATTGCTCATTTCTTCACCAAATTGAGTCAAACGAGTCTCAAATTACTCCCAAGGCAATATATAAACATAATCAAGCAATTTCATGGCATAAAACTTGACAAACAAAGAAAATTGAGCATTATAAATTTCGAATTTTCATGAAATTCGTGAATAAACATGCCAAGAATTCATAAAAAACTGATGTGAGTTTGAAGAAAACTTACATAGATCAGGAAAATAGATGAAAAGATCTTTGATTTGCAACAAATTTGAGCGAATTCGGTTGAGAAACAAGCAAGCAATGAGCAATTGAAGTTTCGGACTTTTTTCGAGCAGTTTCGCGACGAGCAGCCAGCAAAATGAAGAAGAAAGGGGGTATTTAAGGAAATCCCCGTGCTGGCGCTAGGCCCTATGCATTGGCGTCACAAATTTTTCTTGGCGCCTGACGCCAATATCAGCGCCTGACGCTAAGGCCAGCTGTGTGGCGCTGATGGTTTTTCTGCAACGCCAAAGCACCCAGCCACCTGATGAGGTTGAGCTAGTCTTCTGCAACATATTTTTGGGTTCCTTGGTACGCTAGTTAGCCCCTCTAAGCATTTGACATGATTTAGTAATCGGCTTGATTACATAAAGTGATCGACCTGATAAGAGATCGTCTCACTTAGCTTAAAGCGCCGAAGCATTGGCTCATTAGAAAAAAGCACCGACATATAGGTTTAAAAGCAAAAAAGCACTGACATATAGGTTCAAGAGCAAAAGATCACCGACATACAGGTTCAAAGCAACGAGAGCGCCGACGTATAGGTATAGCGGAAGCAAAGTTCAGGCGAACTTTTAAAGATCGACAGGCGTGGATCTTCAGTAATTTCCTTTGGAAAATTATCGCATCGAATGAGGATGACTTCAAGAGAAGATATCTTCGACATCATTCCCTAGCCTGCGGAGAGTTGTCACAAACAACTGGAGGTAATTTCGGGCGAAGTTGTCTTCGATCATATTCCCTAGGATGTGGAATATTATCAATGCGGATGAGGATTATTTCAAGAGAAATAATCTTCGATGGTATTCCCTAGGATGTGGAATATTATCAAAGCGGAAGAGGATAGTTTCAGGCGAAGCAATCTTCTAATTTGGAAGCAGTTACAGGCGTAGCGGTTTTCAAGCGGGATGGCATTCTCTAGCTTGCAGGAGGTCAGAAAAACAATCGTTTACTTTCAGAGACGTGTGCTCGACGGTGCAAGATACGCGTTTCTTAAATCTTTTATCTGTTTAACTAATGCTAGTTTGCAGGTATCGGCGTTACAAGATTGATTTAGGATCGCAGAACGTTCTGAATCATTCTCCGTCCTTATCGATACTTTGACTTTTGTTTTCAAAACTTGCGTTTCTCCAAACTCAGTCAAAGTGGGGGCTTCTGTAGACACCCATAAATGTCTCCCCAAAACCAAACCCAGTGATGAGTACCTTTCACGTCGAATCATAATCGAATGAAACGAAAGTGTGGAAAGGTCTAGTGTTGCGGAAAGTTTTATTTTCTTTTCTCTTCTCTCTGTTTTTGAAAACTTATTTTAAGAAAACAGCCAATCCAGTTTGGTTGGTCCATGATATGAGTCCAATAGTGGTGTAGTTGGATGGGGCTTTCAAAGACCTTTCCAACGATATATTATAAGCCTAATTCCGATCAATATTGAGGAAATTATGGCCAATTTACTAAACTGGGCCCGGTTTGAGATTTATGTACGGACCAATGGTCTTGGGGAGGGCCTAATATGATTTATCATTCCTAATGCAATTAGGAATGGTTTTAGTCTTCTAGATTCTTCTAGAAGATTCTTTTCATTCCTAATTCAATTAGCATTGATAAATTGACTTTTGTTGACTTTTCAGAGTTTTAATCAAAACCAAATAGCATTTTCAAGGAAATTATATTATTTTATCCTCCAGTACGGTAAACTTATCGGATTTTCGAAAACGCGTTGGAATCAGGCTTGGCGCCTAACCCTAGGCCTTGGCTTCTGGAACCAGGCCTGGCGCCTGGCACTAGCCACTGGTGCCTGGCGCTAGCCACTGGCGCCTGGCGCTAGTGTTGGTGCCTGGCGCCAGGTAGCCAGGGTTGGCGCCAGCTCTGTTTCCTGAGCGTCGGATCTGTTTTTTAAATAATTTATCCTTTTTGGCTGATTTTCTCTATAAATATCGTATTAAAACTCCGTTTTCGATCACCAATTAAAATCATCTACATCCATCATTCATCAACAATCATTAATTCTTTAGCATTCTCTAAATCATTCATCTTTCTTAAATTCAATTCTTTCTTTTCTTCCTTTGCTTTTTCATACAAAATTCCGCATTCACAAGATCTAGAAACACCTAGCCATATTCGAAGTTGCCTTCGCCCTAGACGTGAAAGGTTTTAATTTCTGAGGGTTTGGTCCCAAATCTCTCTTTCAATTATTTAATTTAATTGTTGATTATTATTTTCCTTGAAGTTACTAACGTGTGTATTTTGTTATTAGAAAGAGGTACGATGCATCAAAGTAAGTACTTTAATTGGTTTTAATTGATATTATGATGTAGAGATCATGTTTTATATTGTTATTATGATATTCCTAGTATCATGTCTAGGGTAATTTTTAATATTAAATATGATTTCTATGATGCTTTTTATTTTCTTCCTAATACTTATGATTGTTATTAGTATCATGTTAGGATTAAAGATTTGATTTTTATTGCTTAGTGACATGCTAGGGTTTGTTATTAATCTTGTTAGTATCATGCCTAGGATCTTGCTATTATTATGCTTTAATATTAACATGAACATGATTATGATTATAATTGTTATAATTTATGATGATTATGATTATTGATTATTTATTATGTTGCTTGATATTTTTTGTTATTGCTTGATCACACCTTTTATTGCATGTTTAAAAGGAATTGGTACTTGTAATCACGCTTAATAAGATAATTAATAATCTTGTTAGGGTTAATTTGATTATAATTTCAAGTGATCGCCAATAATAGATTTATTTGTGCATAATATTCAACCAACATAGATTAAACAGGTTTAGGGTTAATCCTATTGATTGCATGTTAGTCAAAAAACGCACATGAATACGATCAGAATAAAGTATAGGCCTATTATTAGGGCAGATTCAATCTCTTTTAGGTTGGATTTGTACCTTCATCCCCGAACCCTTATTTGGTTCATGACCTTATGGAGTTGACGATCTTTTGGATCGTTAAGGGGTGTAACCTTCACCTCGTGAACGGTTTACAAGTTCCTAAAAAACTTGTTGGCGACTCTTTTGCTCTATCTTCTTCCCTTTTAGACGCCACCGTACTTTAGTGTATGATCACAGTGGGGATCGAGCTAGTGGGATTTTAAAGGCTTGAAATTATTCCCTACACCTACAAAAACCAAAAAAAAAAAAACAATAAATTATTTCATCAATGAACAGAAATTTCAAATTTACATTTTTATTTTGTAGGTACCTTGACTGGAGTTCCTGATGCAGTGGAAGCAATTTATTGAGAAGCCATATTTTTTTGAAGATGAACATCAATTTTTTGGAGATATTCTGTAATTTATAAAGTTGTTTTGAATTGTTAACAGCTAGTTTTTTAAAACATTCGTGCACATTTGCTGTGTAATTGTTGTTGCAGTAATGGTGGCAGTCCCTAAACTTTTTGCTTAGTCATCGTCCCTGAAGTTTTTGGCTGCTAATTGCTTACTTTTGCTGACTCATGGTCCCTAAACTTTTGCCGACTAAGCAAGGTCCCTAAACTTTTGCCGACTAAGCAAGGTCCCTAAACTTTTGGTCAGAATCACCAAATATGGTGGTTGAGGGACCAAAAATGCACATACAAAAGTTGAGGGACCAAAAGTGCACAAATACAAAAGTTTAGGAACTGTATTTGTGCTTTACTCTATATGTTCATTAGAATATAATACAATGTACATTATAATACAGTAAAATGTACATTTTCATATACGTACATGATCATTTATACCAAATGTACATTTACTATATGAATAATGTTCTTTAATATTATCATGTTCTTTACTAATATTACAAATGTTCTTCAGATTTACAAAAAAAATATAAAACTAGATGTTCTTTATAAAATAGCTATATGTTCTTTACAAAATAACTATATGTTTTTTACAGAATAGCTAAATGTTCATTCCGCCTTTTTTTAAAGAACACTGGATGCACCAAGCATGGTGCATCCGCCTCCACGGAAAAAATTTCCAACCTCTTAAATCATAAGCCGTTAAAGATAATAATTAATCAAAGTGAGAATTTGTTTTATTTTCTTGTGCAATCTAATTGGATATTTACTAGATCTAAACTTTCCAATTATGTTAGTGTTATCAGACGACGACCCAGAATCCCAAGTCAAACAACAATAACTTATTTTAAGTATACATAAAACATGGGTTAGTTCAAGTTGGTAAATACAAACAAACTTCAGCATTTCACCACAACAAAGAGTGAATTGAGAGAATGGAAGAGGAATTGCTATTTAACGAGATTGAAAAAGAAAGAGATGAAACAAAAATAAAAATACGATGGAAAGATATATTAGAGGAAATGAAAAGAGTGAGTTGGGTGGCAGGTCCAATGGTGGCTGTTGTGATGTCACAGTAGATGATTCAAATTTTGATGATGGTGGGTCATCTCGGCCCTCTTTACCTCTCTAGTACTGCCCTTGCTGTTTCTCTTGCTGCTGTTACCGGCTTTAGCCTCTTGGTATGCTTCTCCCTCCACTCTTTACTTTTTGAAATTTATAAATCTGAGGTGTCGATTCGGGTTATCAGTTGGGGTGGATTATTTCGGGTTTGAGTCATGCTAAATTATTATACTCTTGTTTATCAAATTCTGTTATTTCGGATTAGGTTGGGTCAATTTTTGACACCTCTAATTTCATAAAAGCCGAAAAGGACAATTATGAGGATGAAGGGAGTATCAAATTGCATATAAAAGATCATATAGTATAATTTTATAGTTTCTTATGTACTAATAATGAAGTGTATATGTAAAAGTCCAAAATGAGTGTATGTGATTGTAATAGTCTAGACCATATTCATCATAGTAGTTTATGTTTAAGAGTAGTCAATTGTAAAATTCTCCGGGAAATTAGTATATGGAGGAAAAAAATTTCTTTCGTTACTGGAAATGATGAGATTGCATTGCAATTAATCTTAATCTTTCCTTATGGCAGGCCATTCCTTCCAACTCCGTGTTAAATTACTCATACTGAATCATATATATTCTGTCTTTGTAATCAATTTTTACAGCCATAACCAGTTTTAGTACAAATTAGCATGTTAGAGCAAGTCGAGTCTTAAGACTTATGTTTAAGACTTCCCCCATTTTTCTTCTTAAATCTAAAGCAAGTCTCAAGTTGAGTCTTGAAATTCCAAGACTAAACTTAAGACTTGAGATTGGTCCCACCTCAATTTTATTTTTATTATCCTTTTTGCTTTTTACACTTTTCTACATATCAAGAGATTAAAAAAAAAAAAAAAAAAAAGTCATATATTTGAGTCTTAGGGCTAAAGTAATAAATTTGGACAAGTCTTAGTGAGTCTTAACAAGAATTTGATGACATGGCTAAACTTGCTCTTATACTTATTAAAATGTATTGCTTGATCATTTTTTAAGGCTTTAGGAAAAAATTTGTTTGATTACATTTCTGTATGGAACCATGATAAAGATACTCATGTTAATTAATCTGCTAATGTATCTAAGATGTTGAGGTAGAATTTCAAATTATGTATTTGTTTTCAGTACTTCAGTGGGCGCGATTCACAATTTTGGTCAGAAAAACAAAACATTTGTAAGCAATTAAACACTATAATGTAGATGTTAGCTCTCTAAACAACGTAGTGTAGTAGTAAGCATGGGAAACTTTTACCGTCTATAATTTATACAGTGGCACCGTCTAATTTGTTAGTATCTCAAATATTTGAGCTTGTTTGATCATAGTTAGGGATGGCGGGTGCATTAGAGACTATAAGCGGGCAATCTTATGGAGCGCAGCAGTACAAGAAACTAGGAACTCAAACATACACTGCCATATTCTCTCTCACTTTATTCAGCATCCCACTTTCTGTCATATGGATTTACATTGGGGATATTCTCGTTTTCTTAGGCCAAGATCCTGCCATTTCACATGAAGCAGGCAAATTTATGACATATCTTGTGCCCACCCTCGTTTGTTATGCTGTTTATGAGCCCTTGGTTCGATACTTCCAATCCCAAAGTTTGGTCATGCCTATGTTTGTAAGTTCCTGTGGTACCCTACTCCTGCATGTACCCCTTTGCTGGGCTTTGGTATACAAGTCCGGGCTTAATAATCTCGGAGGTGCTATTGCAATGGGTATATCAAATTGGTTGAATGCAATTTTTTTGGCATTGTACATGATGTTCTCTTCCACGTGTGCAGCTACTCGCTCTCCAATCTCTCTGGAAATGTTCCATGGAATTGGAGTTTTTCCGATATGCTATTCCTTCTGCTGCAATGGTTTGGTAACCTCCCTTAGATCTCTTACTATCTATTGTACTCCAATGAATTTTTTGACTAGCCTTTAAATTATGATTTAATCTCTATTCAGCTTAGAGTGGTGGTCATTCGAGCTGCTAATTTTAATATCAGGATTCCTACCAAATCCAGAATTTGAAACTTCTGTTCTCTCTGTGTGGTATTGTTCTGTATTCTCTGTATATTAAATCGGTACACTTTCAATTTTTCCTAGTAAATATAACTCGCCGTTTTGTTGTGCTCTTTGATACTAGCTTGACAACCATTTCAACATTGTTTGCTATACCTTACGGAATTTCAGCAGCTGCAAGGTGTGTTCTAGACAAAAAAATTTCTTGTTCATATTCTGTAGTGTGTAATGATAGAAAAAATACCTAGAATATTCTCTTTCAGGTTTTGGTTATGTTTTGCATTACCAATAACTTTTGAGCAATATTTTTTCTGTTTGTGGTCTGAATGTCTAAATTACAGCACGAGAATTTCCAATGAGCTTGGGGCAGGAAACCCACAGGCAGCTCGCATAGCAGCCTATGGATCTGTTGTAATGGGGGTTGCAAATGGTTTGACTTGTAGCTCTGTTCTTTTTGCTACTCGAAGAGTTTTCGGATATTGTTTCAGCAATGAGAAGCAAGTTATAGATTATGTCACCACTATGGCACCTTTGGTTTGTGTTAATGTTATATCTGACAGCATGCAGGTAGTTCTTTCAGGTATCTATTTTCAAATTTCAGCTGTTACAAACTGTTGTTAAGGAAAAACAAGATTGGCATAAAAATTTGTTTATTTGTTCTTTATTTTACCGAGGTTGGCCACATTCTCATTTGTGTAATGATATTATCTTTAGTGCAAAACACGACTGACTAAATGCTGTTTGTATGATGTTGCAACATTCAGGTGTAGCAAGAGGGTGTGGCTGGCAACGTATATGTTCTTACGTGAATCTTGCTGCATACTACCTTGTTGGAATTCCAGTTGCAGCTGCATTAGGATTTTGGAATCAAATGAGAGGTAGAGGCCTTTGGATGGGAATTATGGTTGGTGCTTTGACACAGTCGGTTCTTATGTCTATTATTACTAGTCGTGCCAATTGGGAAGAGGAGGTTGGTCTTGCTAATACATGTTTCTCAATAGCAATATCTGACTTGAAAATATTATCATGCTTACATGTGCTGATAGTTTTGTTGTACCATAGTTTGACGTTAATTGTTGAAAATTCATACTTTGAAGTTGCCATAGTGGTGATAATCACCATTTAAATTTGTTCTGATAAAGTTTGTGGTTGTTTTATAGGCAAAGAAAGCTAGAAAGAGAGTTGGGGAAGAAACATCAGGCGTAAGCAATTGAGTATAACTCAATGAGTAGAGGCTATTGATAAACCAATTTAGAGTAACTCTTAGTGATTGTTTAGTAGATGTAAGAAACTATAAAAAAAAGTTCAGTAATCAGAAAGTAGGTAGTTATTGAATAATTAGTCAGCAGCTAGCCAACTATGTTACTCGGACTCTTTAATTTACCTCAAGTACCCTTGTTGGATCCTCAATACTCGGACACTTTGTTTTAGTTGAAAATCATTGAATTCTTTCACAAAATAGCCGAGTCAGACACTTGGACACGAACCCGTGTTAAACATGGGTACTCGAATCCATGTAACACAAGTAAGCAAAACTTGAAAAAGTGCAACTTCAATGATTTTACTTCACTCGTCATAATGAATTTTTATTAATTGATCTCAGTTGACCTTTCGAGTTCTGGCAAATGATATACATACGAATGTATCGAAAAAAAATGTATGTAGTTTTAACATACACCACAATTTGTAGCCTTATATTCATTGGTTGTTGGTGTAGGGGTGATTGGGACTATACTTGGTAGGGAGGACTTGTGTTCGGTTTCCTGCAACAATAATTGGGAGGGGAGTGGAACCTAACCACCTAGAATTGATTCCCGAATCCGGATTAGCCCAAAGAGGGAATCGGGTGAAACACCAAAAAAAAATGATTTGTAGTCTTGTAAGCCTTTGATTGAAAAAGCAAGCTCTTATTTCCACGTAAAATTAAAGCTTTATTTGAAACTAGCCAACTAGGTAATTCTCAAGCCATGCTCGGATTTTTTTTAATCGATACATACATAAATAAATCAAAATCATCATAAATTGATCATCAATTACTAGTTTTTTATTTTAAAGCTTGGTAAAGACTCTATACTTCATATATATATATATATATATATATATAGGGGAGGGATCCGGTGAGAATAGGTCCATATGTGAGAATTCATACTTATATGAGAACTGATTTAAAATTTAGAACATGTGAATAAAAATTTAGAACATGCGAGTTAAAACTTAGAACATGTGACTCAAATTAAAATTCTAAACATATGAGTAATAAATTAGAACATTTGTGTGAGTAATATGTTTAGAACATCTAACTTAAGATTATGAACATGTGAATAAAAATTTAGAACAAACTGATATAGAATATAGAAAGTGTGAGTAAAGAATTTAGAACATACGTGTAAAAAAAAAATAGAACATACGTTTTAAAATCTGGAACATATAATTAAAAATCTTAGAACACACGTTTTAAAATTTAGAAAATATAAGTTAAAATTTTGGAACAAGTTATTTAAAATTTATGACATCAAACTTAACTAATTTATGGTTTAGAACATGTGAGTACTAAATTAGAACATTTGATTTAATTTAGAACACCTAAGGAAAAGTTTAGAACATCAGATTTAAAATTTAGAACATACGAGTAAAAATTTAGAACATAAAAAGTGTTCTCACATATGTAAAATTCTCACATAAGAAAAATTCTCACAAGAGCCTTCCCCTATATATATATATATATATATATGGTTGAGATCCCAATGAGAAGGACCTTAAAACCTTAAAATGAGAAGGATGAGAAGAAACAAATGTGCATATATTTTAATATTTTATTCTAAATGTGCATTTTTTTTTTTGTATTGAATTTGCATAATTGTGTTTCAAATTGATAAAAATATTTAATTTTCTGGAAAAACGAAAATTATGCACATTTGTTCAAAAAATATGCACATCAAATTTGAGTAATTTTTTTTTTTTTTTTTTTTTTGCACATTTACATAAAAAAAATTGCACATTTAGTACAAAATTATGCACAAAAAATCCTTCTCATTTTAAGGAACTTTTCATTTGACCCTATATATATAAGAAAAACTAAAGTTTCATTTGATTGAAACTTTTGAAGTTTGAACAACCCTTGTAATAATTCAAAAGTCAAGATAATGTCAACTAGATTAACTAGCTAAATTCTTAGAGGTATTATTCAAGACTTGTGATCAATCTCGTCTACATCAATGCCCTTTTGTGGCTCTATTTACAACATCAACAACAAATTTAAGAAAAAAAAAAAGTTTTACATAAAAAATATTTGAAAAAATTGGTAAAAATATAATCACTTGTTCTAATCGGTTACCAACTTGTTATAACAGGTTACTTGGACACACGTGTCAGTATCTGATTGATAAAAAAGATAATAATAAAAAAAACCTTCTTTACTCAGCTCCCCACTCCTCCCTTGCCACCATTTGCCGATTCCCTTCCCAAACCACCGTCACCACCGCCCCACTACCAAAATGCACTATGCTTGCCCACTCCCGGAAACCCCCCAACAACTCCTTCTCCACCATCGAAAACCCTAGCCACAAGGGTTTTGGGATAAGAGAGTGGCGGTTGGAGGTTTTTGAAGTAGGGGACGGGTTTTATTGGTGGTTTAGAAGGAAGCGACCAGAGGGGAGACGCCAAGGGGGGGGGGGGGCGACGGTTTAGCGAGGGATGGGGTTGGGCTTAGCGGGTGGCCGGATCTTTTAAGGTGGTTGGGGTTTGGTTGGTGGGTTATTTGTTTTTAATTGTTTTTAACCAATTAACTTGTGACACGTATCATTTAAAAAAATAAAAAAAAAAATTAAAACTTATTTGGACAGTAATTAGGATTGAAGAAATTAATTAGCCTTTAAAATTGAAATTATTTCAAAATTATTTAAAGTTGGGATTATTAAAATAAAATGCATCAAAGTTGGAATTATTACCATCATTTTTTCATTAAAAAAAATTACAAAGGCAGTATTGTGCAATGGAGTACATTGTTAGGTTTAAAATTCCTTTTTTTTTTTTTTGGTGAAACAGTTATTTATTTATTTTTATTTTTTGGTGAAACAGTTAAATTTAAAATTCCTAACATCATCTATTAACTATTACTAAAACAAAACATGCTGACATCATTAGATGACACTTGTCAATTTCTTATGAAAATTTTGGCTACCAAAGCTATATTTGACATCATCATTTTTTTCTCTATTTTTCTTTTCTCCTAAGTTCTAAAACTAAACAATTATATTACAATATGTCTTTCAAAATTAATAAATAAGATTATGATTACACTGTTTTGAATAAAGAATATTGACAATTATTTTAAACAAATAAAAACTATTTATTTGTATGGAATAAGATTATGATTACACTGTTTTGAATAAAGAATATTGACAATTATTTTAAACAAATAAAGAATAAAAATAAAAACGCATGGGATTAATATAGTATATACTAAAAGACACACCAGCAATGATACGTATCATCTTCTGGTGTGTTCTTAGTATATTTTTACAAATAAAAAATAAAAAATTGATAAAAAATATACGCAAAATATTTTATTTCAAAAACTAGGAAAAAAATAATCCTAAAATAATATGTTTAACAACTTAAATATCTAACCATATCTTTATATATAAGTTATTATATAAGTAATTACTTTTTAATGTATAAAGATTATTATAGTAAAAAAAATCATGAATATAGCAACCAATGTTCAAAATAGAAGAAAGTTTGAATAAAAAAATATACAAAGCTTTTTTGGTGCAGCAGGCCACACTGTGGTCAGTAAAAATAACGGATTCAAACGCGCACATAACGGGGTTACTGGTGTTGTCAGGGTTACCTGTATTTTTCAGGGGTTGCTTGTATATTTTTTTTTTCAGGAGTTACTTGTAATTTTTTTTTCAGGGGTTATTTGTATGGACTACTTATTCAGGGGTTACTTGTATTTTCTTTTTTTCAGGAGTTACTTGTATTTTTTTTCAGGGGTTACTTGTATGGGTTAATTCAAGGGTTATTTCAAGGGTTACTAGTACGAGTTACTTATTCAAGGGTTATTTGTATGATTTACCTATTCATAGGGTAATTCCAAGTTTCTCTTCTTGAGAAACAAAGAGCGTTTCTCAAGGGGGCAAAGTCGTACTTTCGTGTAGGTATATAAGGGTAAATGGGACTTTTTCGTTTGACTCGTTATTTTGAATTGAACTGTCGTTAAGGCTTATAGTTGACGGAACGTTAAAGACATTTAACTGCTGAATTTTTACCCCGTTAGAGTTACCTACTGAATTTAATTACCCCCTTCAGAGTTCCTGTCTTTAGTTGTTGAGGAATATCGTGGAAATCTAAGACGTTGAACCCAATGTGGTGCTGTTTGCGGCGGTTGTGTTTGGTTGCGTTGATTGCTTAAGAGGAAAAGCTGATTGCGGCGGTGGTGAATTGGACGAAATTCCATCCGTTCTGGAGTTAAGAGGAAAAGTTGTTGTTGAAGCCGGTCGATATTGAAGCTTGGGAAATAGTTTCAATGGAGGATGACAATAACCTTTTTCGTTTAGGGTTAACCATGCCCTAATTTCTCTATGTTTTACTTAGGGTTTTTGTTTAATTTGGCGGCGAAGCCGCCGGAAATTTAGTGGTGGAGATGGTGGTTTATGTGCAGCTCCAATGGAGGAGGAAGCTAGTTTCAATGGTGAATTGGTTATTGGTGATTCGCAAAGTTCGATGACTGACTAGATCCTCCGATCAGATCTGGAGATTAGCTTTTCTACTGTAGACGTGAAGATGGAGTCACTTTGGTTTTAACGAAAACTTGGAGGTAGGTAGAACAACGACGTTAATTTAATCTTTTCACACCGTCAACATTGGTCCACATCAGCGGTTTGAGTGGATGTTACAATCAGCAGTTCTTTTGATTATAATACCATTACTTTACGATTCCCAAAGCATTATAATTTCACAAATGCCATTAGAGAAACATTCTTTGTTTCTCAATAAGAGGAACTGGGGCACGCCCCTATTCATAGGTTACTTATATGAGTTACTTAGCTTCAAAGGTTACTTATATAAATTACTTATTTAATGGTTACTTGTTACTTATTCAAGGGTTGTTTGTAGGCATCATTCCAAACCAGTAACACCCTCCAAATAA